TACAAATACATCAAATAATTTATTTGGTCGAACAACTTCATCATCATTATTATCTAATACGAATAATATTATTACGAATCAAGTTAAACAAGATTCATTATTACCATTAAATATAACATCTAATATAAATGATTTTCGATCTATTCAACAACAACAGCAACAATCAAGACCGTTATCCTATTATCCAACACTTTATTCAAATCAACAACAATATCATCAACAACAAACAGTATCAACAACACCAACAGTACCTCCAACATATCCTCGACAACTTTTATCATCTCGTAGATATCCGTTACCAACACCAATTCCAACAAATTCATCATGTTCATGCTCTCATCGAACACCAAATACATCAACAGTAATAACACCATCAAATGGATCTAATCAATCATCAAATACATCAATATCCCCATTCCTTGTCTATCCTCCTAATCAAGCACCTAATGTTATACCAACTTTAACAGCAACAACTCAACAAACTGTTGCTCTTGCTGCTGCTGCTGCCAGTGCTGGTAAGTTATTCATTCCTGTGTATTATTCAGATTTTATTTTCCAGAAATGCGAGCATAGATTTATAGTACTTAGTACAATATGCACAAACTTCGAGAAGGCCGATACAATCTGCGAAGGAAGACTAACCTCTTGCTTAGAGCTCATCAAGTCCTAAATTCTCGAATTCGAAGATCTCATGATACTGTACTATCAATGAAATTTTCTAATCGGAACGGAATAGTTGCCTCGAAGATACGAAATATTTTTTTCTGGTTACTTTTTTGTAGTTGATAATTAGTGCATCGTACACATTTTTCAGAGGACTAGAGTCAATTGACTTCAAAAATTTTTTGGAACCTGAACAACTCGATGAACGCTACTATTACCTCGCACTCTAGATGAAACATTGGTTCATTCTTTTATTTTTTTTTATAAGAGGAAAAAAACAGCAAAAGTTTTATTTTTATTTTTTTTATAAAGTTGCTCTCGCTTCTCTTCCTCAAGTTCCACCTGTACAACATCTTCATTTTCATCATCATCATCATAATCATAATCCAGCTCATTTACGTCATCAATATCGTCAACAACTTACATCTGAATTACGTCGTCAACGTTTAAGTTCATTTCAACATCAAGCATCATCATCATCATCATCATTATCATCATCATCATCATCATCAGTTTCATCATCATCACCAACAACAACAATACTTACTGCTAATCAACAATTACATGCTATACTTACACATCCAACAACAACAACAACAAGTAATAATAATATTCATGCTCATTTAACAATACAACCAGCAACATCATCTACAAGTACATATAATTTAACATTGGGTACAAATAGTCCAAGTATGCATGTTGCAATAAATACAACAACACAAAATAATCAATGGCCATCAACACCATTATTATTTCGTCCATTTCGCAATCCACTTCTTTTACGTAGTCATCATCATCATCATCATCACCATCATCATCCATTTTTGAATAGTGAACGTGCTGAACATGTTGTTGAAGAATTATTACGCATGGAGGAACAATTAAATGGTTTGAATAACGGTGGTAATATAGGTGCAAATCAAGAACATATTAATGCTCGAACATTATCATATAAATATGAAAAACGGACTATATCTATTGATGAAAAATGTACTATATGTTTATGTGAATTTGATCATAATGATGATGTACGTCGTTTACCATGTATGCATCTATTTCATATTGAATGTGTCGATAGATGGTTAACACAAAGTAAACGATGTCCAATATGTCGTATTGATATTGATTTTCGAGGAGATTTTGGCGATTATGTTTGTTAGATGAAGAAAAACCTTAACTACAGTGTTTTATATGTTTTGTCCGTAACTTATCTCTTTTGCTTATTATTACTATCATTCTGTTTCGTTATTTCTTTTGTAAACACATTAAACACACATTGTGCCTGTATTTTACGACTTGAAAAAGAAAAGGTTCTGAATGTGTGAATGTATTTTGACCCTGAATATATCACCAACATACATTTCGTACGTTCTTTTTTGGCTCTTTTTTTCTTGTTTTTTTGGAAGAATAAAGAATTTTTCTTTCTTTTCTCAGTAAATCATTTACAACCTTAGATATGATCATAGTATGACAGATACGTTTGTTGAGTTATCAACTGAAAGTCATACACAGACTCGCTGTATGATGTCTATTTACAATAAATCAACATGCTTATTTGTGTAAGCTGTAGAGACGAACGACAGAAGTTGCTAATCGTGTTTATGTTCTTCAATTTTTATTGCTTCTATATCGAGTGCTTTGTAATAAACACTTTTTCGTCTACTCTACTCTACTTTGTCTTCGACTGCTTATCTGCTTAAGATTGTGTACGACTATGCGCGTGACAATTATTCATACATTTTTCTTTTATGAAAAAAAAATATTAGAAATCAAGCGAAATTTTTGTTGTTCTTTGTTTATATTATAAAATGTGAAGATACTAAAAACAGAAACAAACATATTTGATTAAAATATTAGACTGTTTGATGAATATCTAAAACGATATTCTTTTTAAAATGGTTTAGTTTTGTTGTAAATATATATGCTTTTCAT